AAATACTTCACGATCAATTAACCCTTTTTTTCTACGATCAGTACCAATCTTATACTGTACGGAAAATAATTTATAGAAAACAACAAAAGGGAAATAATTTTTTGCACTTTGTACAAGCTTTTTTCTGATAACATGAGTAGGATACCTGAATTAGGAAATAACCAATAAATTTAGTGGACGATGTGGTAAAAGTGAAGCATAATTTTCCGCACTTGCATTTGTACAAAATTCTTTCTAATCATAACACACGGATAAATAACTGAGTTAGAAGATCAAAGATCCAAAAAAAAATAACGAATGGTAAACCAAAATTCTCTTTTTTTAAAAAAAGAAGTTAATTCCATTTGAGATAAGATTTAAAATAAAGTTACTTTATTGTTTAATAGATCATGAAATTGTGAATAGGTTGATAATATATAAGACATCATGTTTCAGGCTATTAAAAATATTTGTTAAAAGATAATTTTCTAATGAATACGTTAGAAAATAATTTGTCATTAGACAAATTAGAAAATAATTTACCAATAGATACAAGTACTGTTGAATCTGGTCGTCCCTTTACAACATTTGCTGAAGCTTATACAACAATTGAAAAATATACAATGCAAACAAATTCAGTCATAATCTTAGAAAAAACTACAAAAAACTCTGATAATAGTTATAGACAGGCATTGTTTGTATGTAAAAAAACAAGAAAAATACGGTGGAAAAAATGAAGAATTTATTACCAAGCGTACTGAATGCCCATTTGCAATTGGATTAAATTACTACAAGTGTACTAATGAATATGTTATAATGAAGTCATATCTGGAGCACAATCATGATATTTGCTTGAGTGCCACAAAGTTTAGTACTATTATTCGTAAACTTGATGATGATGATCTAGGTTTGGTAGAAAAACTCTATGACAATGGTCTTAGAACAAAAGATATATTTTCAGTATTGAATTCTGTTAGTTCAAAATATATTCACAAACCCGATGTTTATAATGCAGTAAGCCGTCAACGTAAGCGTAAGTTACAAGGTTTAACTGAAATTGAGTTGCTTCTTAAAACTTTATGTGATGATGAAAGTATTATAGGAAATATTGCATTAAAAACTGTATACAATAGTGAGAGAGATCAGGATGGCGAATTTATTCAAGCTGTTTTTTGGGCGTATCATGCATCACTTTCTGAGTTCACAATAGGAAAAGATGTTCTAATTATTGATGCTACATACAAAACAAACAGATTTTCAATGCCCTTAGTTGCTATTTGCAGCATTGATAGATTTGGATCTACATATCCATTAGCATTTGCACTTGTTTATTCAGAAATACAAGATTTTTATAGTTGGGTGTTACAGCAACTAAGTAAGGTACTAATTGCGTTTACAGGTAGTATGCAAGTAGAAACAATTATGACTAATCGAGAATTGGCCCTAATAAAAGCAATTTTTAATATATTCCCTTGTGCATGATATCAATTATGCACATGGCATATTTTTAAAAATATCAAGAATAAACTTCGTAAAGATGTTGATATGGACGAATTTACTAAGGCTATTCAGAAGCTTTCCTATAGTGATATTTCAGAAAGCCAATTAGAGGAAGAGATTAGTATATTATGGAATAAATTTTCAAGAGCAAAAGCATACATGTGCGAGACTTGAATACCATATAAAAAAAGTTGGCTTGCGCTATACATAAAAGGTAATGTTAACCTTGATATAAGATCGAGTCAACGTGTAGAAAGCTTACACAGCAAATTAAAAGATGTTAAAAACTGGATTACCTTATTAATAAGCTGTTTGCAATTCTTTGAAAGCAAATACAAGAATTTTATCAAAAACAAGCATATGAAATGTTTATACATCAAAACAAATATACACATGATAGTACAGATATTGGTCTGAGTAAACTAAGATTAGTATGCTCACGATTTGTATTCGAGTCATTTATTAGACAGCAAAGGGACCTTGTAAAGTCTAGTACTTATAAGATATTTGAAAGCGGTAATAGTATATATAGTGTGAAACAAATTGATAATAAATCAGACCAGACATATATTATACAACTTGGATCACCCAGTACCTGTACATGTCTATATCCACGAAGTACCAGGCTCCATGTCAGCATGTTATTGCAGTCTATTTACTTCACTTACAAACTCATGTACCACCAAGTAAGATTCATCAACGTTGGGTTGTGAACAATCATACAGAAATGGAAAATGCTATTTACTCTCATGTTACTCAAATTTTTGAACAACTTCTAGTATATTACCATGGTGCTTTTTTAGATTTAATGCAGCAAGCATCCGAATATGTTATTGAATATGGTGAAATACCTAAACTGCTACAAAAAGAACAAAATAATACACAGAATGCTATTTTAAAACTATTAATATTAAAAATACTGTAAATTATGATGAAATCAAGATGCCAGCAATTAAGCATGCACAAGGTTGGCCACCAAATAATAGTCGTATCCGTAGTGCAGATGAAAATAAAGAAAATAAGGTGTCTTTGAAAAAGCTTTCCATTAAAAAAAGGTCAGAACAAAATGACTTAATTGCTTTTAGAACAATTAGTATTGATAATGTGGTCAATAGTGATAATGATAAAATAGAAACACCCATAATTAAGCATATACATAGCAGACCAAAAAAAAGCATTGTTAACCAAAATTTAGACAATAATAATTCAGTTGCATTACATATACTTGGAGTAGATATTAGTTCATGCATTCCTCAAGATATAATATTGCAAACGCACGATCCAATTGGTGATGGGCATTGTGGGTTCCGATCATTGGCTGTGGCTATTTTAAGAGATGAAGAAAAATGGCGAGATATAAAGGTTACTATGTGTGAATATTTAACCAAACGGGAAGAAATGTATGGCGATATACTTGGATATAATATCAAACAACTTAAAGATGTTTTATCATATTTAGAACCATATTGTTCACAGGACTACTGGTTTTATACACCAAAATACGTACAACTGGCATCAGACATATTCAATATTCCAATTGCAACATTTAGTCTAGATCCAAATACAAGTCTTTTTTTTCTACCATTTGATCAAAAGCCTGGCCACCGTAAAAAACCTATTATTTTGCAATGGCGTAGACATAACCATATTACACTAGTTCGGCTCAAGCCAAACAAAAATATACAGCTCTCACCTTTAAACCCACAATATTCATCAATCTGCTGTCAACAAGGTTTTTTTGAAGAATGACTTACTTACTTTTCATAGACTGAAAGTTTTTTGCATTTAATATTTGTATTTTAAATCATGTTTATTTTGCGCGTATATGTCTAGCATTCATTATAATAGTTTATAAGTATTGCAAGAATTTATATGAGGTAGCATTATTTATTGTAGTTATTCTGCATATGGGTTAAAAATGGATATAAATTGAGGTATAAACATTGTTATTCGCATATATGTTCATATAAGTATAAGATAAGATATTAGCTTATAAACTTATGCAATCAAATATTATATAAAATGTTGATTACGAAGCCATTTATCGCAGTTTGCAAAATGGTAGATCTTTGATAAATATAATATTAAATTTTCAATTAATAAATGCAATTTCATGATTGCACAATTAGACAAGACCAGGAAATCGTGATTGATTGTAACTAGGCTGCGATATACCATTTTGCAAACCATAAATTAACATTATGCAATCATTTGTGTATATATTAGAATCGGTTATGTAAATAATTTATTATTTATACAATTTTATTGGTCAATCCGAATTGATGTACATAAGGTTACATAAAATTGATGTATATAAAAAATTGCTATTAACTTTATTAAATCATACAACTTGCAAGTTGTCTTTCATAAGGTCAATGCTCATCAAGATGATGAATTTAATAACTGAGCTGATCAACTAGCTCGATGTCATATCATTGCACCTTATTTAATATTTAAACCTTATAATATATATAATCTAAACTATACTCTTTTCTTTGTGGACTCTCCAGTCAAGTTACTAATTTAACGATTCACTCAAACTATCTGTCACGCTCATATTTATGCACTTTGGTTATCTCAAAACCGGTTTCAACAATGGTCTCAGATTTCTAACCAGATTCACTGGCATACTATCTAGCTATATATCAACAATAATCAAAAGATCTCTAACTACAAACATAGTTTTCAATCATCCATTCTAAAGTCCTTTCGTATTAAAATCTTACTTGATGACTTGCCTACTCCTTATATTCTACATAAACAAAACCCTAAATATCTACCTGTATGTTATCAATGTGATCAAATCAGTACTATGCTTCACTAGATTACATGTCCAACCTCCCAGCTCCTTCAAAACTTAATTAACAGTTCACTTCAGTCAACGATTAATACATCTAGCCTTGATCTTTCCACCCAATCTATTACTGATATACATCAGCTTATTAAAAGTTTTCAGTATATGCAAATTCATAACTTATCAAACTCTCCATCTCTCTTATCAACACTTTCTGGTCTTATTTCTTCTGAAATTATATTAGCTCTTGCTGATATTACATTATCTAACAAAACTGCTATTTCACTTACTGTTAAATTTTTATTACACCTTAACAAGCAAATTTACAACTCTATCTGAATTCCATATTGTATCTCTAAATCTTAAACTAATATTTCTATTTATTCGCTACTTTCCTTACTCACTTTATCTCACTAACTCTGATCTTCACTTCATTTGATAGCCTATTCCAAGTTTTTATTATGGTACCCACAATAGATCAAATATCAATTTACTTTACACAACTTACTTAATCTTCAAATCTAGATGAGCCTTGGCTACTCTGGTAGGTTTAGGCCACAGATAATTATGTTATTATAACATTATGTCTGAGTCTTTAGTCTTAGATATCTTCTGGATATGAGATTCAAATATAATTTCTTTGTATTTTGTAAAGGAACTCAATTGAATTTCAATAAAGTTAAAGGTATGGCCTCACCTTTAAGATTTAAAAAAAAAATATATATAATTTATATATAAAAAAATTGATTTATGCTATTTATCAAATATGTTTATATAGAAATATACATTACTAATTATATACATAACTCCAAAATATCTGATTTATATACTGTACTGAAATTTTAAAAAAATTTTGAGA